GGTGATGATGTAACACAGCAGGATAATGACTGATACAGCTTGGGGTGGTGTTGGTAGGTACTAAAGTTGGTCGGGTGATGATGTGACACAGCAGGATAATGACTGATACAGCTTAAGGTGGTGTTGGTAGGTACTAAAGTTGGGCAGGTGATGATGTGATACAGCAGGATAATGACCGTTACAGCTTGGGGTTGTGTTGGTAGGTACTGAAGTTGAGTGGGTGATGATGTGACACAGCAGGATAATGACCGTTAGAGCATGGGGTGGTGTTGGTAGGTACTAAAGTTGGGCTGGTGATGATTTGACACAGCAGGATAATGACCGATACAGCTTGGTGGTGGTGTTGGTAGGTACTAAAGTTGGGCGGGTGATGATGTGACACAGCAGGATAATGACCGTTCCAGCTAGGCGTGGTGTTGATAGGTACTAAATCTGGGCGGGTGATGATGTGACACTGCAGGATAATGACCGATACAGCTTGGGGTGGTGTTGGGAGGTACTAAAGTTGGTCGGGTGATGATGTAACACAGCAGGATAATGACCGTTCCAGCTAGGCGCGGTGTTGATAGGTACTAAATCTGGGCGGGTGATGATGTGACACTGCAGGATAATGACCGATACAGCTTGGGGTGGTGTTGGGAGGTACTAAAGTTGGTCGGGTGATGATGTAACACAGCAGGATAATGACCGTTACACCTAGGGGTGGTGTTGGTAGGTACTAAAGCTGGGTGGGTGATGATGTGACACAGTAGGATAATGACCGTTACAGCTTGTCTTGGTAGGTACTAAAGTTGGTCGGGTGATGATGTGACACAGCAGGATAATGACCGTTACAGCTAGGGGTAGTGTTGATAGGTACTAAAGCTGGGCGGGTGATGATGTGACACAGCAGGATAGTGACAGATACAGCTTGGTGTGGTGTTGGTTGGTAATAGAGTTGGGCGGGTGATGATGTGACACAGCAGGATAATGACCGCTACAGCTTGGAGTGGTGTTTGTTGGTACTAAAGTTGGGCGGGTGATGATGTGATACAGCAGGATAATGACCGTTACAGCTTGGGGTGGTGTTGGTAGGTACTAAAGCTGGGTGGGTGATGATGTGACACAGTAGGATAATGACCGTTACAGCTTGTGTTGGTAGGTACTAAAGTTGGTCGGGTGATGATGTGACACAGCAGGATAATGACCGTTACAGCTAGGGGTAGTGTTGATAGGTACTAAAGCTGGGCGGGTGATGATGTGACACAGCAGGATAGTGACAGATACAGCTTGGTGTGGTGTTGGTTGGTAATAGAGTTGGGCGGGTGATGATGTGACACAGCAGGATAATGACCGCTACAGCTTGGAGTGGTGTTTGTAGGTACTAAAGTTGCTCGGGTGATGATGTGATACAGCAGGATAATGACCGTTACAGCTTAGGGTGGTGTTGGTAGGTACTAAAGTTGGGCGGGTGATGATGTAACACAGCAGGATAATGACTGATACAGCTTGGGGTGGTGTTGGTAGGTACTAAAGTTGTGCAGGTGATGATGTGACACAGCAGGATAATGACTGATACAGCTTGAGGTGGTGTTGGTAGGTACTAAAGTTGGGCAGGTGATGATGTGATACAGCAGGATAATGACCGTTACAGCTTGGGGTTGTGTTGGTAGGTACTGAAGTTGAGTGGGTGATGATGTGACACAGCAGGATAATGACCGTTAGAGCATGGGGTGGTGTTGGTAGGTACTAAAGTTGGGCTGGTGATGATTTGACACAGCAGGATAAGGACCGATACAGCTTGGGGTGGTGTTTGTAGGTACTAAAGTTGGGCGGGTGATGATGTAACACTGCAGGATAATGACCGCTACAGCTTGGGGTGGTGTTGGTAGGTACTAAAGTTGGGCGGGTGATGATGTAACACAGCAGGATAATGACTGATACAGCTTGGGGTGGTGTTGGTAGGTACTAAAGTTGGGCGGGTGATGATGTAACACAGCAGGATAATGACTGATACAGCTTGGGGTGGTGTTGGTAGGTACTAAAGTTGGTCGGGTGATGATGTGACACAGCAGGATAATGACTGATACAGCTTGAGGTGGTGTTGGTAGGTACTAAAGTTGGGCAGGTGATGATGTGATACAGCAGGATAATGACCGTTACAGCTTGGTGTGGTGTTGGTAGGTACTAAAGCTGGGTGGGTGATGATGTGACACAGTAGGATAATGACCGTTACAGCTTGTGTTGGTAGGTACTAAAGTTGGGCAGGTGATGATGTGATACAGCAGGATAATGACCGTTACAGCTAGGGGTAGTGTTGATAGGTACTAAAGCTGGGCGGGTGATGATGTGACACTGCAGGATAGTGACAGATACAGCTTGGTGTGGTGTTGGTTGGTAATAGAGTTGGGCGGGTGATGATGTGACACAGCAGGATAATGACCGCTACAGCTTGGAGTGGTGTTTGTAGGTACTAAAGTTGGGCGGGTGATGATGTGATACAGCAGGATAATGACCGTTACAGCTTGGGGTTGTGTTGGTAGGTACTGAAGTTGAGTGGGTGATGATGTGACACAGCAGGATAATGGCCGTTAGAGCATGGGGTGTTGTTGGTAGGTACTAAAGTTGGGCTGGTGATGATTTGACACAGCAGGATAATGACCGATACAGCTTGGTGTGGTGTTGGTAGGTACTAAAGTTGGGCGGGTGATGATGTGACACAGCAGGATAATGACCGTTCCAGCTAGGCGCGGTGTTGATAGGTACTAAATCTGGGCGGGTGATGATGTGACACTGCAGGATAATGACCGATACAGCTTGGGGTGGTGTTGGTAGGTACTAAAGCTGGGTGGGTGATGATGTGACACAGTAGGATAATGACCGTTACAGCTTGTGTTGGTAGGTACTAAAGTTGGTCGGGTGATGATGTGACACAGCAGGATAATGACCGTTACAGCTAGGGGTAGTGTTGATAGGTACTAAAGCTGGGCGGGTGATGATGTGACACTGCAGGATAGTGACAGATACAGCTTGGTGTGGTGTTGGTTGGTAATAGAGTTGGGCGGGTGATGATGTGACACAGCAGGATAATGACCGCTACAGCTTGGAGTGGTGTTTGTAGGTACTAAAGTTGGGCGGGTGATGATGTGATACAGCAGGATAATGACCGATACAGCTTAGGGTGGTGTTGGTAGGTACTAAAATTGGGCGGGTGATGATGTAACACAGCAGGATAATGACTGATACAGCTTGGGGTGGTGTTGGTAGGTACTAAAGTTGGTCGGGTGATGATGTGACACAGCAGGATAATGACTGATACAGCTTGAGGTGGTGTTGGTAGGTACTAAAGTTAGGAAGGTGATGATGTGATACAGCAGGATAATGACCGTTACAGCTTGGGGTTGTGTTGGTAGGTACTGAAGTTGAGTGGGTGATGATGTGACAGAGCAGGATAATGACCGTTAGAGCATGGGGTGGTGTTGGTAGGTACTAAAGCTGGGTGGGTGATGATGTGACCCAGTAGGATAATGACCGTTACAGCTTGTGTTGGTAGGTACTAAAGTTGGGCGGGTGATGATGTGACACAGCAGGATGACGACCGTTACAGCTTAGGGTGGTGTTGGTAGATACTAAAGTTGGTCGGGTGATGATGTGACACAGCAGGATAATGACTGATACAGCTTGGGGTGGTGTTGGTAGGTACTAAAGCTGGGTGGGTGATGATGTAACACAGCAGGATAATGACCGTTACAGCTTAGGGTGGTGTTGGTAGGTACTAAAGTTGGTCGGGTGATGATGTGACACAGCAGGATAATGACTGATACAGCTTGGGGTGGTGTTGGTAGGTACTAAAGCTGGGTGGGTGATGATGTGACCCAGTAGGATAATGACCGTTACAGCTTGTGTTGGTAGGTACTAAAGCTGGGCGGGTGATGATGTGACACTGCAGGATAGTGAGAGATACAGCTTGGTGTGGTGTTGGTTGGTAATAGAGTTGGGCGGGTGATGATGTGACACAGCAGGATAATGACCGTTACAGCTTGGAGTGGTGTTTGTAGGTACTAAAGTTGGGCGGGTGTTGATGTGACACAGCAGTGGAGCAAGAACACCTGTTGAGGAAGATGTTAGCGGTGGAGCAAGAAAACCAGAGGAGAGAGATGTTAGCAGTGGAGCAAGAACACCTGTTGAGAGAGATGTTAGCGGTGGAGCAAGAACACCAGTGTAGAGAGATGTTAGCGATGGAGCAAGAACACCTTAATAGAGGATGTTAGCAGTGGAGAGGATGTTAGCAGTGGAGAGGATGTTAGCAGTGGAGCAAGAATACCAGAGGAGAGAGAGATGTTAGCGGTCGAGGAAGAACACCAATGGAGAGTGATGTTAGCGACGGACCAATAACACCTGAGGAGAGGATGTTAGCAGTGGAGGGGATGTTAGCGGTTGAGCAAGAAAACCAGTGGAGAGAGATGTTATCGATGGAGCAAGAACACCTTAAAAGAGGATGTTAGCAGTGGAGAAGATGTTAGCAGTGGAGAGGATGTTAGCAGTGGAGCAAGAATACCAGAGGAGAGAGAGATGTTAGCGGTGGAGCAAGAACACCAATGGAGAGTGATGTTAGCGACGGACCAATAACACCTGAGGAGAGGATGTTAGCAGTGGAGGGGATGTTAGCGGTTGAGCAAGAAAACCAGTGGAGAGAGATGTTATCGATGGAGCAAGAACACCTTAATAGAGGATGTTAGCAGTGGAGAGGATGTTAGCAGTGGAGAGGATGTTAGCGGTGGAGCAAGAACACACGTGGATAGTGATGTAAGCGATGGACCAAGAACACCTGAGGAGAGGATGTTAGCAGTGGAGATGATGTAAGCAGTGGAGAAAGCACACCCGAGGAGAGAGAGATGTTAGCGGTGGAGCAAGAACACCTGTGGAGAGTGATGTTAGCTGTGGAGCAAGAACACCTGTTGAGAGAGATGTTAGCGGTGGAACAATAACACCTGTGGAGAGAGATGTTAGCAGTGGAAAGGATGTTAGCGGTGGAGAGGATGTTACCAGTGGAGCAAGAAAACCCGCGGAGAGAGATGTTAGCAGTCGAGAGAGATGTTAGCGGTGGAGAGGATGTTAGCTGTGGAGGAAGAAACCTGTTGAGAGAGATGTTAGCGGAGGAGAGGATGTTAGGGGTGGAGAGGATGTTAGCAGTGGAGCAAGAAAACTGGTGGAGAGAGATGTTAGCAGTGGAGAGAGATGTGAGCAGTGGAGCAAGAAAACCAGTGGGGAGAGATGTTAGCGGTGGAGAGAGATGTTATCAGTGGACGCAGATGTTAGTGGTGGAGCAAGAAAACCAGAGGAGAGAGATGTTAGCAGTGGAGCAAGAACACCTGTGGACAGGGATGTTAGCTCTGGAGCAAGAACACCTGTTGAGAGAGATGTTAGCGGTGGAGCAAGAACACCAGCGGCGAGAGATGTCAGCAGTGGAACAAGAACACCAGTGGAGAGAGATGTTAGCGGTGGAGCAAGAACACCAGTGGAGAGAGATGTTAGCGGTGGAGCAAGAACACCTGTGGAGAGAGTTGTTATCAGTGGAGCAAGAATATCAGTGGCGAGAGATATTAGCGGTGGAACAAGAACACCTGTTGAGAGATATGTTAGCGGTGGAGCAAGAACTTCTGTGGACAGGGATGTTAACGATGGAGGAAGAATACCAGTGGAGAGAGATGTTAGCGGTGGAGCAAGAACACCTGTGGAGAGAGATGTTAGTGGTGAAGCAAGAACACCTTAGTAGAGGATGTTAGCAGTGGAGGGCATTTTAGCGGTGGAGCAAAAAAACCAGTGGAGAGAGATGTTATCGATGGAGCAAGAACACCTTAATAGAGGATGTTAGCAGTGGAGAGGATGTTAGCAGTGGAGAGGATGTTAGCAGTGGAGCAAGAATACCAGAGGAGAGAGAGATGTTAGCGGTGGAGCAAGAACACCTGTGGAAAGTGATGTTAGCGATGGAGCAAGAACACCTGAGGAGAGAGATGTTAGCAGTGGAGCAAGAACACCAGTGGAGAGAGATGCTAGCGTTGGAGCAAGAACACCAGTGGAGCGAGATGTTAGCGGTGGAGCAAGAACACCAGTGTAGAGAGATGTTAGCGGTAGAGCAAGAACACCTGTGGAGAGAGATGTTAGCGGTGGAGTAAGAAAACCAGAGGAGAGAGAGATGTTAGCAGTGGAGCAAGAACACCTGTGTAGAGAGATGTTAGCGGTGGAGCAAGAACACCAGTGGAGAGAGATGTTAGTAGTGGAGCAAGAACACCAGTTGAGAGAGATGTTATCGATGGAGCAAGAACACCTGTTGAGAGAGATGTTAGCGGTGGATCAAGAACACCAGTGGCGAGAGATGTTAGCGGTGGAGCAAGAACACCAGTGGAGAGAGATGTTAGCGGTGGAGCAAGAACACCTGTGTAGAGAGATGTTAGCGGTGGAACAAGAACACCAGTGGAGAGAGATGTTAGCGTTGGAGCAATAACACCTGTGGAGAGAGATGTTTGCGGTGGAGGAAGAACACCTGTGGAGAGAGATGTTAGCGGTGGATCAAGAACACCAGTGGCAAGAGATGTTAGCGGTGGAGCAAAAACACCAGTGGAGAGAGATGTTAGCGGTGGAGCAAGAACACCTGTGGAGAGAGATGTTAGCGGTGGAGCAAGAACACCAGTGGAGAGAGATGTTAGCGGTGGAGCAAGAACACCAATGGAGAGAGTTGTTAGCGGTGGAGCAAGAACACCAATGGAGAGAGTTGTTAGCGGTGGAGCAAGAACACCTGTGGAGAGAGATGTTGGCGGTGGAGCAAGAACACCAGTGGAGAGAGATGTTGGCGGTGGAGCAAGAACACCAGTGGAGAGAGATGTTAGCGGTGGAGCAAGAACACCAATGGAGAGAGTTGTTAGCGGTGGAGCAAGTACACCAGTGACGAGAGATGTTAGCGGTGGAGCCGAATCACCAGTGGCGAGGGATGTTAGCGATGTAGCAAGAACACCAATGGAGAGAGATGTTGGCGGTGGAGCAAGAACACCAGTGGAGAGAGATGTTAGCGGTGGAGCAAGAAGACCAGTGGAGAGAGTTGTTAGCGGTGGAGCAGGAACACCAGTGGAGAGAGATGTTAGCGGTGGAGCCGAATCACCAGTGGCGAGAGATGTTAGCGATGTAGCAAGAACACCAATGGAGAGAGATGTTAGCGGTGGAGCAAGAACACCAGTGGAGAGAGATGTTAGCGGTGGAGCAAGAACACCAGTGGAGAGAGATGTTAGCGGTGGAGCAAGAACACCAGTGGAGAGAGATGTTAGCGGTGGAGCAAGAACACCAGTGGAGAGAGATGTTGGCGGTGGAGCAAGAAGACCAGTGGAGAGAGATGTTAGCGGTGGAGCAAGAACACCAGTGGAGAGAGATGTTAGCGGTGGAGCAAGAACACCAGTGGAGAGAGATGTTAGCGGTGGAGCAAGAACACCAGTGGAGAGAGATGTTAGCGGTGGAGCAAGAACACCAGTGGAGAGAGATGTTAGCGGTGGAGCAAGAACACCAGTGGAGAGAGATGTTAGCGGTGGAGCAAGAACACCTGGTGTTATCATTAATTAATAACGATCCATGAACACATGATCTTATTTCAGTAAAATGTATAATTATATAAATGTACATTTACAATAATTTACATCTCTTAAATATAGTATGACTAGAAATTATTGAGAATTTTAGGAATATGTTTAATTGGATTTCTAGTATAAACAACCTTAACCAGCTATCAAGTGCTTGGTTTCATTCAAGAGAGACAACTCCGTTAATCCTTTTTCATTAGTCTGTGTGTTATAACAAGGACATCAGATCAGCTAAAGTGATTTCAAGTAGAACAGGCATCCCCTTGTCCACTGTTTATCGTGTTTTGAAAAATATTGCAAATGGACATGGCATTGAGCACCAGGGAGGCGCAGGTAGGCCCAGAAAATTGACTGTCGGTGACAGGAGGCGGCTTGGTATTCTTGTTTCTAAAAACAAGCGAACGAGTTTAGAAAACTCAAGGTTGGATATGATTAATAGAGGAAATCTTAAGGAGACCATTAGGTTGGCAGTAAAGTCGAGGAATTCCATCACCGATCATGAAACCTGAAGAAAAGGAGCGAAGGTTGAACTGGTCCTTACAGCATAGAAATTTTAACTGGGACAATGTGATTTTCTCAGATGAAAGTTCTGTGTGGCTGTTTCCTAATACACTGAAATTCTGGACCAAACAAACTGAAAAACCTTTGTATCAGCGCCCAAAGTACAGTCCGAAATTTAACATGTGCGGTGGGATATCTGTGTTAGGGGCAACTCCCCTCTGTGTATTGGAAGGATTATGAGCAGTGAGCGGTACACAGATATTCTCGAGGGACATTTACTTCCATCTGCTAACGTGTTCTATGGAAATGTTTGGATTTTCCAGCAGGACAACGACCCAAAACATCGTTCAAAGAATTCACAGGCCTAGTTTCGGACCCAAAATATGACATTCTTAGATTGGCCAAGCTATAGCCCTGACCTAAATCCAATAGAAAATGTTTGGGGACTTATGAAGGAGAGTGTCAATAAGAAAAATCTGACAAATATTGCTGAAATGAAAGAAGAGGCGGTCCGATATTGGGACAGCATGGACCACAACTTTCTAACTTCTTTGATCAGTAGTATGCCCTGCCGCATTGAAGCCTGCATTGCTGCCCATGGTGACTTGACAAAATACTAACTGTTCACCTGTCTTTGAATCTGGAGTTATGTTCTGCTAATATTCACATTTAATACGTGAGTAATGAGTGAAAAAAATTGCAATCTTAAATTATCAATAATTTCTGGTTGTACTGTATCTATGAATATATAAGTATATAAACGTAAATTTGAAAAGTAAGAGTAAATTAAGCACCATGACACTATCTTCTCATACACCTACATTTTAGGGACAATATATCCATTACACAACGCAGTATAAATATCTGATTCAGCAACCATTCTCCCCAGGTATCAGCGCAAGGTGCACAGCACATGGTGTTGATGACCCACATACAGTAGTCAATATGGTGGGCCACGGATCGTCCAGGGAACATCCGTTACGGTCGAGAGAAAGTGAAAACGTCGAGACGAGATGGAGATATTTTACAATATTTATAGCAAATGAATTTGTACAACATTGATAAAGAATTTCATCAAGTTTGGAGAAGCGGGAGTGTTTATTGTCTTGCAGTATAGCAAATTAGCAAAACATTTTAACATAATATTTATTCTTATTTTTCGAAATGTAATTGGTTCCTGCGATGTTTTGAGGTTGGGCGGGTGATGATGCGACAGAGTGGTGGTAGTGACGGTAGGTGCTGAAGTTGGGCGGGTGATGATGTGACAGTGAGGTAATGACAGTAGGTGCTGAAGTTGGGCGGGTGATGATGTGACAGAGTGGTGGTAATGACGGTAGGTGCTGAAGTTGGGTGGGTGATGATGTGACAGAATGAGGTAATGACAGTAGGTGCTGAAGTTGGGTTGGTGATGATGTGACAGAGTGGTGGTAATGACAGTAGGTGCTGAAGTTGGGCGGGTGATGATGTGACAGAGTGAGGTAATGACAGTAGGTGCTGAAGTTGGGCGGGTGATGATGTGACAGAGTGGTGGTAATGACGGTAGGTGCTGAAGTTGGGCGGGTGATGATGTGACAGAGTGAGGTAATGACAGTAGGTGCTGAAGTTGGGCGGGTGATGATGTGACAGAGCGGTGTAATGATAGACGGTGCTGAAGCTGGGCGGGTGATGATGTGTCAGAGCGGTGTAATGACGGTGGGTGCTGAGGTTGGGCGGGTGATGATGTGACAGAGTGGTGTTAAAGTTGGGCGGGTGATGATGTAACGGAGCGTGGTTACTGATGTGGTAATTGATTGTGATGTGATGGAGAGGAATTGAAGTTAAGCAGAAATGCATCAATAAAACATTTGAAATTTACCAAAAATTCAGTATTTAGATTTGTTGTTATTCTCATGATTGCTTCAGTCGCACGGAGGAACGCAGCATAGACGGAAAGTCGCGAGTTACTAAACATATTGAAGGGATATGTTCATCTCGTGATTGTTTCGCGTGATCATTGCCATTTATTCAGTAAGGAAAGGCAGAACACGTTAGTCACGAGAGTCAGAACTGATTAAGCTAACGTTAAAACAATCAAGGAAAGTATTGAAGATATGTTTAACCGACGCCCAGGATGACATAGAACGACAATACGAGTAGGTATCTGTTGTAGGGTCCACTGACGCCCAGGATGACATAGAACGACAATACGAGTAGGTATCTGTTGTAGGGTCCACTGACGCCCAGGATGACATAGAACGGCAATACGAGTAGGTATCTGTTGTAGGGTCCACTGACGCCCAGGATGACATAGAACGGACAATACGAGTAGGTATCTGTTGTAGGGTCCGCTGACGCCCAGGATGACATAGAACGACAATACGAGTAGGTATCTGTTGTAGGGTCCACTGACGCCCAGGATGACATAGAACGACAATACGAGTAGGTATCTGTTGTAGGGTCCACTGACGCCCAGGATGACATAGAACGACAATACGAGTAGGTATCTGTTGTAGGGTCCACTGACGCCCAGGATGACATAGAACGACAATACGAGTAGGTATCTGTTGTAGGGTCCACTGACGCCCAGGATGACATAGAACGGCAATACGAGTAGGTATCTGTTGTAGGGTCCACTGACGCCCAGGATGACATAGAACGGCAATACGAGTAGGTATCTGTTGTAGGGTCCACTGACGCCCAGAATGACATAGAACGGCAATACGAGTAGGTATCTGTTGTAGGGTCCACTGACGCCCAGGACATGACATAGAACGGCAATACGAGTAGGTATCTGTTGGACTGACGCCCAGGATGACATAGAACGGCAATACGAGTAGGTATCTGTTGTAGGGTCCACTGACGCCCAGGATGACATAGAACGGCAATACGAGTAGGTATCTGTTGTAGGGTCCACTGACGCCCAGGGATGACATAGAACGGCAATACGAGTAGGTATCTGTTGTAGGGTCCACTGACGCCCAGGATGACATAGAACGACAATACGAGTAGGTATCTGTTGTAGGGTCCACTGACGCCCAGGATGACATAGAACGGCAATACGAGTAGGTATCTGTTGTAGGGTCCACTGACGCCCAGGATGACATAGAACGGCAATACGAGTAGGTATCTGTTGTAGGGTCCACTGACGCCCAGAATGACATAGAACGGCAATACGAGTAGGTATCTGTTGTAGGGTCCACTGACGCCCAGAATGACATAGAACGGCAATACGAGTAGGTATCTGTTGTAGGGTCCACTGACGCCCAGAATGACATAGAACGGCAATACGAGTAGGTATCTGTTGTAGGGTCCACTGACGCCGAGTAGGTATCTGTTGTAGGGTCCACTGAGGACATAGGGTCCACTGAGGCACATAGAACGGCAATACGAGTAGGTATCTGTTGTAGGGTCCACTGACGCCCAGAATGACATAGAACGGCAATACGAGTAGGTATCTGTTGTAGGGTCCACTGACGCCCAGAATGACATAGAACGGCAATACGAGTAGGTATCTGTTGTAGGGTCCACTGACGCCCAGAATGACATAGAACGGCAATACGAGTAGGTATCTGTTGTAGGGTCCACTGACGCCCAGAATGACATAGAACGGCAATACGAGTAGGTATCTGTTGTAGGGTCCACTGACGCCCAGAATGACATAGAACGGCAATACGAGTAGTAGGTATCTGTTGTAGGGTCCACTGACGCCCAGGATGACATAGAACGGCAATACGAGTAGGTATCTGTTGTAGGGTCCACTGACGCCCAGAATGACATAGAACGGCAATACGAGTAGGTATCTGTTGTAGGGTCCACTGACGCCCAGAATGACATAGAACGGCAATACGAGTAGGTATCTGTTGTAGGGTCCACTGACGCCCAGGATGACATAGGAACATAGAACGGCAATACGAGTAGGTATCTGTTGTAGGGTCCACTGACGCCCAGAATGACATAGAACGGCAATACGAGTAGGTATCTGTTGTAGGGTCCACTGACGCCCAGAATGACATAGAACGGCAATACGAGTAGGTATCTGTTGTAGGGTCCACTGACGCCCAGAATGACATAGAACGGCAATACGAGTAGGTATCTGTTGTAGGGTCCACTGACGCCCAGGATGACATAGAACGACAATACGAGTAGGTATCTGTTGTAGGGTCCACTGACGCCCAGGATGACATAGAACGGCAATACGAGTAGGTATCTGTTGTAGGGTCCACTGACGCCCAGGATGACATAGAACGGCAATACGAGTAGGTATCTGTTGTAGGGTCCACTGACGCCCAGAATGACATAGAACGGCAATACGAGTAGGTATCTGTTGTAGGGTCCACTGACGCCCAGAATGACATAGAACGGCAATACGAGTAGGTATCTGTTGTAGGGTCCACTGACGCCCAGGATGATGACATAGAACGGCAATACGAGTAGGTATCTGTTGTAGGGTCCACTGACGCCCAGGATGACATAGAACGACAATACGAGTAGGTATCTGTTGTA